GCTAAAAGGACGAAGAACCTCTGACTCCGGGCACATCTCTTTGATTCCACTGTCCTTACTGCATTAACATACGCCTCAGAGACCTGGGCCCTACGAAAACAGGATGAGAACGCTATTTGGGTCTCCCAAAGAGGAATCGAAAGAGCTATGCTTGGAGTATCACGCTTCACTCAAATGAGAGAAAGAATCCAGAATTCTGACTTCCATTGGTGATCAAGAATCAAGGACGCTGTCTCATTTGCCAAGGCATTGAAAATCAGATGGGTTAGACACGTAATGAGATTTGGAGATGACTGCTGGACTAGAGCCATTACTGACTGGATTACACGGGATGTCAAAAGATCGTGTGGCCGCACATCTCTGAGATGGTCAGACTTCTTTGTCATGACCCTGAACAATCGGTTTGAGGCTCTTCGTGTTCGTAGAACGAGCAGATGCCATTGGGCTATGCTAGCATGCAGCAGAGACGAATGGAGATATTACTGGAGCCCACTCAAGCAAATTGATGAGTAACAGGATGTCAAGTGATCAAGTCAAATAAATATAGATTAGCTATTATGGAATAAAAGATGTTAAAAATTAATTTCTTCTGTTTCTTTCCTTCTTAATGTGGTTACTGTAGCACTGTAGCACTGTCCTCCTGTTCTTCATTGATTTGCAAGAAAACTTAAAATAATATGTGACTTGTATAACAGTTCTATTAGATAGGGTTGTCAATATTTGGGAGATTGAGATATTTATTATGATCATACAGCCAGTGGGAGGCAGTATAGTACAGTAGTTAAGAGTCTTGGCTGTAGGCCAGACTGCCAGTTCTCCAACCAGAGCTGGTATTTAATTGCTGCAAGACCTTGTAGATTATTAAGCTTCAAATTCCTTGCTTGTAAAATAGAAATAATAGTAAGACCTGCTTTAAGTGGCTGTTAAGGATATTGAGCGATGGCATAGAGAACAATACTTAGCATATGATACTAAGGACTCAATAAGTGAGAGCTGCTGTTATATTACTACTCCCTCCCTTCTCTGGCCCCTGCCCCTTTTTGTCCTCAAGACTCCAAATATGAAACACTCATGTTTGAATATATGGGTATCACATCCACACTTACAGCTTGAGCAGAAAGTGTCCCTAACTACTATCCTTGACTATAATATTACGAACATGGTTCCTATTCTCTGAATGTTGCTTAAGATGCGGGGAATAAAGCTCTGATGGTGAGTATTCTTTTCTCAACCTTATTTTTATTGAGGTTTTGTGACTTACCATACTTCTGCTGATGGTTTTCTATGCATGTAATTCCAACACCACACCCTTCATTTGACATTAAAGATTCAAGTGAAGAAACCGATCCCTTTTTAATTTGTTTGGTAGGCCTTAGGAATTGCTTACATCTGCCTTTTCCTGTTGCATTTTGTATATTTTCTATCCCTACTTTGACCAGGTTCCCCCTGAGGATTACCAACTCTTAAAACCCTGAGAGGGATCATGGAAAAGCTCCCTTGCAGTTCTGGAAGGCTGCAGAGAAATCATTCTTCCTCACTTTCCAAAGTGTGGGAAAATAAAATACCTTAAACCAAGGACTTTTGAGAGTATTTGATGCTTTCCAAGGGATGGTAAGTTGATGCATGAACATTGTGTGCAGTGAAATAATTTATTAGCAAATGTATATTCTAATTACACACACACAGACACACATACACACACTCACACTCCAAACCACTTACACCCTTTGTTTCTAAAACTATGGTTGTGATTCCATCCCATGTCAAGTTGGGTAATTGGATGTGGAAGTGTGGAAAACTTGGCAATGGTAAAAGATTTCTGAATAAGCAACACAGTGACCAAAAATTAATTAAAAATCACCTATACAATGAATCAAAGGTGTTTGTTCTTGATAGTGCGAAGTAGTAAATGGAAAATGGTTAAAAATCCATGAAGTAAGTTTAAAACTCATAAATTTAAAGCAGAGAGTGCTTTGATAGTTTTTGTTGTTGTTGGTTTTGTTATTTTTTTAGTAAGATAAATATTACAAGGACTGGTTTTGATTTCAGAACAATTTGCAAAATCCATGTCATAATCACAATCAGAGGATTATGTCATAGTTTAAAAAATGACTTTACAGCACTGGGTAGGAGGAGGAGGTAGAGTTGTTTTGTTGTTCTTCCTGGACAGTCAGATTAACCTTCCCCTTTTTAATTAATGATTTCTAGTACGCATTATTCTATGTGAAATTTTTTGTTTTGGTGCCACATTCGGAGATGCTCAGGCTTTGTACTGAGGCTTTGCACTGAGGAATCACTCTGGTGGTGCTCAGAGAACCATATGGAATGCGGGAGATAGAACCCGGATCAGCTATGTGCAAGCAAGCACCCTACCCTTTGTGATATTGCTCCAGTCACATATTTTTATATATGAATTTGAAGGAAGTTGACTTATGTGAGTTTGAAGTCTCCAAGTGCACTCTCCCACCTGAGCTTCTAAGCCATGTTCACCATCATGTCTTGTGTTATACTCTCTCCCTTTCCTGATCACTCTGAACTACAATATATTTTTCTAATAATGTTTTATTGCTTGTTTTATAAGATATTGAAGTTAGTTTTTTATTACCTCGGAATTACTTTGACTTTTTTTTTTAACATGGAAGTGATGTCAACATGAAACTCTTGCTTTCAAATTCAGTACTTAATATTTTATGAGCTGATTGATAAGCAAGTATACACAGTAAAGTTCATTTGCCTTCTAGCCTGACTTTGTGGCTACTATCTGGGGTAGAAAGTTCCAAGCTTTTGGAAGGAGGAGTTTGTTGATATAGTTTGGTGAGGTCTGACTGAATGCAGCTGAAATTTCTGAAGGAAAAGTTTAGGGTTGCATCCTTCAGGCAGAAAAGTGCAGGCACCAATGAGTATCAACTATCACAGCCAGGGATATGTAGTTGGATGGTTCACAGCGGGCTGTAGCTATCTGTATTGGGGTCACCCAGTGAGGGTTCAAACACAACGTAAGGGCCACAATAAGCTTGCCAAGTCAGGATGCAAGCATTTTAGGAAACTTCCTAGTTGCATCTGACACCAAAATTTGAGAACATCTTGGTAAAATTTTTCCCAGTCATTTTTCACTACCATTTAGTATACTCTGCCTTAAAAAGTTTGTATTGTCTTTTTCTTTTTCTCAAGAATCCTACACTACTAAATGTTTTCAGGAACCAAAAGAGATATGAAAAGAATTTTTACTATTGTGACACACTTTGAGATGGGAAAACAGCATTCAGCCTCTATTTTGCAGTGAGCTAGTGTATGAGGCTGTGTGCGTATTGAGCTGCAGGTGTCTCGGCTTGTGGAACGGCATGTGCACCGTCATGTGGAGCAAGGCCACGCCTCTTCCCCTTCAGTATGGTCAACAGCCTTTCATGGGAGCGTTGACCTGTGAGCTTTATCTCGATTTCTCGATTTGTTTTATGCATCCATTAGCATGTTGGTTCTAAGATATCAAAAAAGAAAGCGTTCATAAGGAAAATGAATATGCCCGGGAACAGAGCTTGAAGTCCTTGGGTGAGATTTTTGCTGCTACTGACAGTGTGGCAGTGATTGCAGTTAAGTAGGAGTTTCATTACGAAAGGATACTTAGGTTTGGGATAGCTTTGCAGGATCTTTGGGTGCCTTCAAAGAACTATGTGCCTTTAAAGAACTAGCAGTGCGTGAGGCGAACAGTCAAGCCTAGTGTTGACTTACAAAGCTTCACTTCACTGACAGTAACAGTGAGTTACAGAGAATTTTATGATGTACCTGGCCTAAAGGAAAAAGACAACTCGAGATGCTCACAAAAGACTTTCTTCCTCTATCTTCTACCCCTCCGTCTCTGTATTTTCCAACACCCCAGTCTCCAAAAACTCAGCTGAAAATATAACCTCGTCATTACTCTCAGCATTTCTGTGGGCTAACTTCTGTTAGGTAAGACCTTATTTCTACTTCCTACAGACTGTGCATTTGCCATATATCCCTGCTTTTACTATGGGTCAATGTCATTTTAGGTATACAAGTTGTTATGATTTGATGGGTTGCTGTCCGGTCCAGGAATGCTAAGATTCCACATAAATCAGTGGTCATTACCTCTAGTCATTTTTCTTTAGTCGTGTTGGAACATGAAAGTTTTCATATGAAATCTATATCTTTCCTGAAAATGAATGGTTGTTGTTGTTTTGTTTATGTGAAATTCTTCTGATTTCAAAGTCAATTTATGACTCCACAGAAGTCATAGCTTTCCTTGCAGCTCACTGCTTTCCTCACTACTGCTTACTGTATTGATATTTAATGACTAAATTCTATAGGTTATAAAATAGCACATATTTCACATGCATTATTCCATTCAGTCCTTGAGTCAATCTTAAGAGAAAAACTCTCTTCTAGCATTTTACAATTGAAGATATAGAGATACAGAAAGGCAAGTATTTCTAGAATGTCAAGTGGCTATTAGTGGTGGCAGTGAATTTGGGCTAAGGTTTTCCTGATTCAAAATTCATATTCTTTTTTTTGCTTTTTGGGTCACACCTGGCAATACACAGAGGTTACTCTTGGCTCTGTACTCAGTAATTACTCCTGGTGGTGCTCAAGGGACCCTATGGGATGCTGGGAATTGAACCCAGGTTGGCCGCGTGCAAGGCAAACGCCCTACCCGCTGTGCTATCGCTTCAGCCCCCAAAATTTATATTCTTAACTGTTAAGCTCTCTCCTGTCATCCTTCCTTAAATATTCAAGTAAGCAGTCCACTTTTATGATTCTTCTCTCAGCTTTCCGAGGGACAGTGTGTGGTGCAAATATCACGTGTTGTCTTTTTGGTTACTATCATACCAAACCTTTTAAGAGGTATCTTTCAATTCTTCAGATATTAATTACTCCAAAAATTTGGAAGTGTGTTTACTGGTAAGCTATCCAAAGTGTTTTTCTGGTAATTATCTCTCTAGTAGTATCACAGGCTATAAAGCTAAAATGGAAGATAAGGCACTCACCTTTCTCACTGATATTGTGAATGATGGTTTTGCCCTCATTATCTGTAGTTATTAGGAATGTAATAAGACATTCATTTTCTCCTTGCAGAGAACAGGAAACTGAAGTATTCTTTGAGAAATCTGCAGATAAATCATTGGTTAGGTTAAATAAGATTCCATAAATTTTATTTTTTAAGCAAAGTAGTATTGAGTTTCAATATGCAAATTTGAATATTAACATTACAGAATTGGAATGATCTGCACTGTAGCACTGTCCTCCCATTGTTCATAGATTTGCTCTAGCAGGCCCGGTAATGTCTCCATTTTGAGATTTGTTGTTACTGTGTGTGTTTGGCATATTGAATACATCACAGGTAGCTTGCCAGGCTTTGCTGTGCGGGCAAGATACTCTCAGTAGCTTGCTGAGTTCTCTGAGAGGGGCGAAGGAATTGAACCTGGCTCGGTTGGGCTGGCTGCATGCAAGGCAAACGCCCTACTGCTATGCTATCTCTCCAGCTCACAGAACTGGAATAGGACATTCAAAATAGGAAACACCTACTAGAATTTTTCCTACCACCTGAGGTTTTACTTTTAATTCATGTTGCAGAAGAACAGTTACAAGAAGCAGGTAATCAGGACTGACCATCAAATTCAGTGATCTCTAATATATCTATTGAACAGAGGATTTCAAGAGAGTGAAAGTTACAACAGTCAAAATAGCTGCCTTGGGAATAGAATGACCATAATTATGATAACAGGAGTTACCATAATTTTTGACTGAGAGCATATGGTAAGATGCCTGGATTATATTTCAGAAATAATCACTATCAGTTCTATAATCTAAACTGATACTTCTAAAGTTACCTTTGACTAATAGTAGTCAAGATTGCTAATCATCTATTTCTACAACAGTAAATATAAATTAATATCAAGAAACAGATTGAAGTGTCTCCTCAGAACAGCATGTTTAAGATAAATCCTAGGTTAAGAGGGACTCATGAAAATAATTTGTTTACGTTATTACTCCATTATTAATTTATAAAAATTATAACTCATTATAACCCCATTCTTAATTTAAAACAACATAGTTCAATTTTATTTAAATATTTTCTAAATAAAAGTTTCTTTACTCATTGAACTTATTCAAGAGACAGAAAATCAAATTCATGACAGAAATAGAAAATATAGTAATATAGTCATCTGAGTTATTAATGCTATATTAATTTCAGTGGTCTGGCAAAATTATTTCAAAATTATGTAGCATTTTCTTTATTAGGAGACATATGTAAAGTTCTAGCTTATAAGTTGAAGATTTTTCATATTAATGTTGTTTCATTATCACAAAACTGTAAATAGAATTATTCAAGCCAAAAATTGTAAGGTATGTTTAATGTTAAAATATCATACAGTGTTCAGAATATCAAAATTTGGACTTTTCCCAGATAATCTTGGATATATCCTTGCTCGAATTTTATTTTTTCTTACTAGTTGACAGATAATATTTAAATAATAAAAAGAAATATTTATATGCTTTTGTGTTTCTAACAATAGTATTCTTGATTTAAAAATGCCATAAAATAGAAATAATGACTTATTACACTTAATGCTTATTGCACTTAAGATATAGAAGGCACTATGCGAAATGTACTTGTAATGTCTTTGAAAATAGGCTAGTAAAAATTCAATATTATTTCTACCACCAGATGATATATTTAAGTGGATTTTAGTGGCAAACTTTTTTTCAACCTATTAGAAGCATTTATTCACACAGAACGCAAAGTAATCTAATTACAAATAATTTCTATCTGGTATTCTTAATATTGATGATCATTTAAATCATAGGGGTATTTAAAAACTGAGATCATGTGGATGCAATCCCAGGTAATTTGATTCAGGTCAATGATATGCTGAGGAACTTGCATTTTAAGTTAAGATTTTTACCAAGGTGAAGCTTATTTAAAGATCTGAAGTCTTTTGGCAACACTTGATTAGTGTTACACTAATGTGTTACAAGTTGGTTGATAGCAACAATACTTTATAAATAATGCTTTGGATGTTTTTACATGAGTTCAGTGCAAATCCTCTTCTACTATCTCAATCTAGTTAGATATTGAAAATTTGGGGAATATATTCTGTTTTGCTGAATTTTTATTTTCTTCCTCCCCCTCTCCTCTAACATAGTTCAGGCCCATTTTTCCTCTGAAAGTTACTAAAATATTTTATTCTCAGGAAGATAGTCTGTAGTTGGCTTATATTGCTCTTCAGTAATATTAATGTTGCTCTATTTTTTCTTCTTTTACATAGTTTCATTGAAGCAGAGGGAGGCTTATTTTACTTGACCAGGATTATTTAAGTTTTAGTGGAATTGCTAACATGACCTCTGAGTCATGACTCCCTCTTTTGCTTTGATTTACTGTACTCCTTTTCATGACTGTCACAGCTCTAGATTCAGGCTGTTTTGTAAGGTTTGGGTATTAAAATAATATCACTGAATGTGCAACTAGAGGGACTAGATGGAAATTTGCATAGTTAGCTGCTCAGGTTTTCTTTTTTGACATCTACAAGACAGAACTTTATTTTAAACCATCTTTATGAGTGCCCACAGTGTTGTTCTAGAATAATACAATGAAAATATGATCTTATAAAGGTATCTTATAAGGTATAAACCATACCTGGAAAAAGAAGTAATCTGAAAATTGGGGCGATAAGGTGGGGAATCTACAAAGATTCGGGAAAGCTGAGGAAACTATAAACTGTCTGCAACATTGAATTATTATTACTTTATGTTTAAGACCTCTGCTGGTTAGTCAAGGCAGTGGTTCTTTTTCTTTCTTTTCTTTTTTTGGATTACACCTGGCAGTATTCAGGACTTACTTCTGGCTCTGTGCTCAGGGATCACGCCTGGCGGAGCTTGGGGGACCGTAAGTTGTGCCAGGATCAAGCCGAGGTTGGGCATGTGCAAGGCAAACTTCTTACACTCCATACTATCACTCTGTCCCCAAGTCACAAATTCTTAGGGAACATAATTTCCCAAGGCAAAATAAATAAATAAATAAATTGGGACTGCATCCATATTCTCTACTTCTGTTCTTTGCCTGAAATTTTAGGATGTACCCTTTAACATGCAGGACAAGCCTAAGGAGTTATGAAAAGAAAACAAAAGTTTAACAAAAATTTATATGAACATCAGTGCTTTTTTCCAATGAACACTTTCAGATCTAGAGCTCCCACTTTGAGTAGCAGTGCTCAGTATAAGAATGTGAAAGTAACTTTAAAGTATCTTTTCAATAGGACAAACATGATAACCTTTCAGTATCCACAGTGCAAACCATAATGCAGAGTGGGGGTTGAGAGTTGGAAGAGAGAGGGTGGAGAGAGAGGAGGGAGGAAAAGATAAGTTCCTGCCATAGAGGTAGGCTTGAGTGGGGGGGGGTGGGGTGGGAGAGAAACTGGCGATACTTGTGCTGGGAAATGTGCACTGGTGAAGAGATGGATGTTGGAACATTGTTTGACTGAAATCCAATCATGAACAACTTTGTAACTGTGTATCTCATGGGATTCAATAAAAATTAAAAAACAGGATGACAAAATACAGAGTGAATAAATTTAGAGCACATGTCCTTAGACATGCCCACACAAATCATCAGAGTACAGTTGAGAATTCTTCCTATGGTTATGAAGGCATGCTTATTTTACTGTATTCTTGTTGGGGGAAGGATGGTTGCTAAAAGACTGGGAGAGAAAATATGTTGTGATGATTTTAAAGTGTTATACCAATAATTGGGTGTGTAACTTAAAACAAAATCTATAAAAAGAATATCGCATAGTAAGGATGGCCTTTCAAATTCACAGACTGACACATATAGTCTCAATGCTTAATGTTATATTTTTGAATTTCTTTTTTTTCACATTGGATTGAACTCAGGGCTTCACATATTGTACACATACTCTACCATGGAGCTATCTCTTTGTTCTTGTAAGTACTTTATGTAGTATTAGCAATCAAATTATTATTTTAAATAGGGATAGGGATTGAGTCACATCTGGTGATGCACAGGAATCATTCCCAATAGCACTTAGGGACTGTACGTGGTGCTAGGGATTGAACTCCAAGATTCAGCACAAGCCAAGTGTCTTAGCTGCCGTACTATCTCTCTAATTCACACAATCAAATTATTTTTAGTTTCTGAGTTAGAAATAGTTGTTCTTCTCTGTTTTGAAGGCCATTTAGTCAAGCACACAAAAAGTACATATATTTAAGTGCCATTTTAGACAGTCTTACACTCAAATCCAAGCATTTACAATATCTATAAAGCTGCATTTAGACACAGTAACTCAGTTTCTGATTTACATATTTCCAAGCTTTGCTTCTATTCCTCCCTGCTTTCCACCCTAGCACATTAGATTTCCCATGTTATACATGAATTGAGTTCTTATTATTTGGCATTTTCTTCAATTTTTAGTCATATCTTAGAGACACCTGGTAAATATTCCAACTGTTTGCTGTGAAATGCACCCAGGAGAATAAGCTGAGGCTTTGTACTGGTTGCTAATGTGAATGGTACACAAAATGCCCTTTCAGTCAGCACTGCTGCTGCTTCCCTCTGGTATCAGTGTAAGATACACACCAGCTTGTACAATTTACTGCTATTTGGCATATTTATCTTTAGTCACCAGACAAACAGATGAGGGGTTTTATGCCCCCTATCTAATTAGGCCCTTCTTAATAGCCTTATTCAATGCTGCACTGGTGGAAATCTCAATTTTGAAACAATGTAGGTAATTTACAAAACAATATAAATGTCACTAACTTATCCCATTTTAGGAATGGATTAATTTCTTTATTCTAATTTCCTCTATTCAAGATCCACATCCTAGAGCATCATATATTATGGTCTTGATTATTCCACTTTGCCTGTGATACATCTTGGATGCATCCCTAACGTGTGCAGAACAGCCTTTTGACCTGAGCAGCATGGTAATGCAGAACATATGAAGATGCAAAACTATATCACTCGGATAGTCCAAGTCATCTTCATTGTGTTAAAGTTGACAAGTTATATTTAAAATGGCTATCTCTCAAATAAAATAGAACCTTTTAAAATATTTGAGACAATAGTAATGTGGTCCCTTAACCAAAACACACACACACACACACACACACACACGTATATTTGAGACAACAGTAGAAAGAATTCGATTTTAAATGATTAGATTTGAAAGTGACAGGTGAAAGCAAAAGCAGTGAACACAACTGCTTGGCAGTGTCAATAAGCTCTTAGATAAGGGAACTGAGGTTTCAGGGAGATAAAGATGTGGTCCTGGCTAGAAATGAAAAGCATTTGGATGGAAGGAGAGGATAAATGACCACTAACCAGAAACTGCTCTGTGTCTGTGGGCAGCTAGTAGGACATCCAGCTCATATACTCCTTTATTCTAGCTTGAAATCAAGTAATCAGATGATTAGAGGGGGCATTTTGGATTAGGTGTTAACATTTTAACTGCCTCTTCAATTTACTATTGCTCTAATTTAAAAAAAATTAAGCAATCTGATATTTCTGCAGTTATATTGTTAAGCTGTGGTGAATTGCCACCTGAGCTGAATTCAAGTACTGTAGTTACGACTTTAAATGACTTGTTTCCCAAACCTTCAGATTTTTAGTCTTTTGGAATGCATTTACCTTCATAAATAAATATGAGTGAATTAATGCTCTGCAACAGTTGGGGACCAATTACTGTAAAGCCCTTAAGAGTTTCTGCCTCTCAAGTACTATATAGAGGAAATGAAAGAAATTTAAGGCAAATACTACCTTCATCTTCATTGATGATCACACCAGCTAATATGCACTTGTCAACACATTCTTCTTTGATCTGGCCATCTGCAGATAAGTGACATTCGATACAGCTCCTGGAACATATTCAACAGTGTATATCAGTTCACCTTTGTGGAAAACAGATTTGTAGCTGTGATATTGCATTACTGCTGTCTTTGTGGTATGTGCTGTAGGAATAACTCATAAAAGATATTGCCATTTGTTACTTAGAGTTATCTCTAAGCACAGAAATGGGAACAGCTTAGAGCTTTGCTGGGTGTGACCTCTAAACCAAAAAAGAGAGAAATTTTGCTATTTTATTTAGTTTTATTTAGTTTTCCTACAACGGGTGGTTCTTACTAAAATTTTATTAGACACTAGGCACATTTTGAATTTTTTTTCTGCATCACACCTAGAGTGCTCAGAGTGTACTCCTAGCTCTGTCCTCAGGGATCTCTGCTGGTGGTGCCAGATTGGAAAGAAACCATATGTGGTTTTGAAGATTGAACTGGACTTAGCTGCAATCAAGTCAGGAAACTTAATCCCTGTACCATTTCTCTAGTCCCAAGATTTGACTTTTTTAAAAATAGAAACTGGGGCTGCAGTGATAGTACAGTGGGTAGAGCATTTACCTTGCACATGGCTAACTTGGGTTTCATTTCCCTGTATCCCACCAGGAGTAATTTGGTATACTGGTACACCACCAGGAGTAATTTCTGAGTACAGAGCCAGGAATAACCCCTGAGCATCTCTGGGTGTGATACAAAAAACAAACAAACAAAAACCAGAATTTTTTGGTTTTAAGAGCTCAAATGACTCTTAAACACTAATTTTTCTGTAACTCTTTTGAATAAGTCCAAACCTTGATAGTGTTTTCAAAAGTTGAGCATTATGTAAAGCTTAGAATTTCATTAATGCATAGAATAAAAGATTTCTACTTTGAAAAGTATATTTCTAAGAATATAGCCAAGAACCAAGCAGATCTAATGATGCAGAAAAATAAAATTTAGACCATGTATTAATTGTTGTGTTACAAATCACTTTACAAATATTGTGTTTTGATGACTCAAAACAGCAAAACTTTTCAACAGGTGTACCCATCCAATCACTTGGCCTCTCTTCTTCCCCCGGCCATGGAAATGTACAAACTTTTTAAATCCTTGAACCATTCCCCTGTCCCCTCCCCAAATCCTTATCTCCTCAAAATGCAGCTAAAACTGTCCTTATTTGGCAGAGCTTCCCAAATACTTTAACCAGTGGCTCTCTTGCAAGAAAAGCCTCGAAATTCCTCTGCAAGAAAGACTCAGAAACTGAATCTGTGTGAAAGTGTGTACAGAGGCCTTATCTGCAAGTTGCTTTTGTGTTGCAAACGTACTGCAATTGGATGACATATTTAGTGCCTTCACTGGAGATTGAGGAAAACCTGATTTTTCTGTGCTTCTCATTGGTGACTGCTCAAACTGGTTTGGTAAGCCTATCACCAGCCATATAGTTTATTAGCACTCTCTGTAACTCCTCTTACAAATATATCATAGTAATTACTTTTTTGTTTGTTTGGGGACCACACACAGCAATTCATGGGTCTGGCTCCCCATATGCTTGCGGGACCAGGCAGTGCAAGGGATTGAACCTTTTTCCAGCAGGCAAAGAATGTGCAGTAACTCATTGATTTTCAATAACCAATCCAAGGATCTGATGCTTGTCTGCAGGTTTAAAAAGGTTACAAACTATTGGTCTGTAATTTTGATCTACTGCCAGTCTGTGAATCAGTATGCAGGACAGGAGAAGTATAAAAGATTCAAGATTACCGCTCAGCTCTTTGAGCTATCTCCTTGGATCTCTTATTCTAATTACTTTTTTAGAGTCTGTCTATCCTACTAGATTTTCAGCACCTTGTTACCACAACAGGAATATAATGGTTTCTGTCATTACGGCATACCCATGGTTTAACATTATTCCTGGTGGACAGAAGAACTATAACCTATTTAATAAAGAATGCATAAAGGAAGAATGACTCATCTCAAAACAAATATAAATGCCAAGGGGTTTACCCTACCTAACTCTCCAAATAGAAACTACTTTGCTTGTTTATGTTCCTCACTTAAAGATCAGATTTAAGATTAGATGATGTTTACATAAAAGAATAGAAAAATGAACAGAGTAAATGTCTTGAAAGGAAATTTTACACTCTTTTATTCAGTACATCTGCCATTGCCCCATATTTCCTGGCATATAGTTAAGCACAGGGAAAGGAAAAAAATTAATACCTGATTGGACATGATCACTGGGTGAATTTTTTTTAACATGCCTTACCTCAGAAAAGCAAATGTCATCATTTTGGGGAATTTATGAAAGTATGAACTGAACGTTTTTGTATAATTAGACACTGCAGTGTTATAACTGGCAGTTTAGTGTCTTGCTTCACTTGACCTACAGTCTGGCCCCAATATCATTAGGATGTTATCTGCCAACCAAATATAGAAATAATTCAACTCAGAGAAAATGCATTTGTATGCATTTTCTTTGATGCTATATAAAAAACAGTAACCATGATGTAGAATGACAACCAAAGAAAGGTGCCCAAAAGCATGAATGACAAAGGAATGAAAGCCAGGTTCATCTATCTGTTACTTTGCCTCCAAGAAGCTATAGATAGGAAAGAATTAGTAAGGTCATTCTGTTAACTTCTTGGTAAGAAAGAAGTTTGTTTGTCCTCCTGAAAAGATTGAATGTGGATATCTACCTCCAGGGTATTTCTTATGTGGGCTGCTGTTGTCCCTGAGAGTTGTTTGATGTTATCGGTGTGGGTTTCCTCATGGTGGTGCTGGGTAATCAGAACTGAGAAAGCCTCCCCTCCACACATCCTCCCCACCCCAGACTGACATTCCAGGATGAGGATATTAGGATATTAGGGATCTGTGGGTTTGACTGGATGCTTAGAAAACAAACCAGCAAAAATGATCAGAGATCTAAGCTTAGGAAAGTTCACATTTGATAATTAGGAAGCCTTAGGACAGACAGGACTGAAGCAAGTAGAAGCATTACCGTTTAGAGTTACAGGGCTCGCCACAGGTGGGGCATCGCTCGCAGGTCAGTCCGGAGGCACCAGGGTTGGTGCAAACACACTTGCCACAGACGCAGTCACCTCGCCCACTGCACAACAGCCCATCTTCAGCGAGGCAGGCATCTGTACTGGTGGTGCAGTTGCAGTACTCGCCCATCCAACCGCTCCTGCACACACATTCACCACAGTCACAATCGCCATTGTCTGTAAAATAAAATGTACTATTTTAAGGTCAATGCCACTTTCAGATTTGGGGAGCTATTTTTCCTTTTTTGTGTTTAAATGCTGACAAAAATCTTGAAGATGAACCAGAGAAATAGTACAGCATGTATGGGGCTAGCTCTGCCTGCAAATAGCTAACCTGGATTCAATCCCTGACACCCCATCTGGTACCCTGAACACTTCCAGGAGTGACTCCTGAGCACAGAGCCAGGAGTAATCCTGGCCCAAGAACAGAGCCAGCGCATAGCCAGGTATCGCCCACAAACAACAAAAAGTCTAAAAATAAATAAGAGATAAGAATGAGTGTTACAAAATTTGTAAGTCTACTATTGTACCTCATGGTGTCTCACTAACAAAAAAAGGAAAACGAATGAGTGTTATGGTGGGGAGGAAGAATGAATGTAGCTGGATTTTATAAAATGTATTTTGCTAACTGTGCATATTTATCTGGTCTCTTTATTGATACCCAACTTGATTACCTAGTGTATAAAACACAACTCACAGTCAGATGAAATAAGATTGTCTTGAAGCCCATAGTAGTTATGTGGTGTGTGTATAATATTATAAATATGCATTTATATAAACATATACAAGTACATGCATAAAAATATATTTGGTATTTTGAAATTAATTAAGGTGCCATTGAGATGCACAACAGACTTGAGTAATGGATATCCTACTACTCAAGTAATGAAGTGATGGCAAAAACCATGAAATGAAATAAAGCCAATTTCCACTGGTTGTGGTCAGGTGAATCTACTAGTTTCGTATTCACCAATAAGATGCCCTACATTCAGTGCTCAAAAATTAATAAATGTTAATCAAGCATTATATCATGTACCAATAACTGTATTAGGCACATGGATACAAAATTAGAGAAGAGAAATTGGTTGTGCTTGTAGTCAATTGTAGGAGATGAATAACCACTTCTACTGAGAAACACAATCACGGTCACAGTCCATGGTCCTCCCGTTGTTCATCGATTTGCCCGAGCGGGCCCAGTAACGTCTCCATCATGAGACTTGTTGTTACTGTGTTTGGCATATCGAATATGTCATGGGTAGCTTTCCAGGCTCTTCCATGCGGCCGAGATACTCTCGGTAGCTTGCCAGGCTCTCCGAGAGGGGCGGAGGAATCGAACTTGGGTCGGCTATGTTGGCCGCTTATAAGGCAAACATCCTACCGCTGTGCTATCACTCCAGCCCGAGAAACACAATAGTATGTGACAAATACTGTGCACACAGAGAGAAAGTTTTCACCTTAGAGTAGAGATTTGGGGAAGTTTCCAGGGGAAGTGATACTTGATCTGAATTTGGAAGATAAAGATAGTGAATAGCAGAAAATGGTTACATGCAATTTAAGCAGAGGAAGAAAAAGCATAAGCAAATAATACAAGTGACTATTTGAGATGTGGGTATTTTCACAGTATTTTCATATGAATAGAGCCAAAGGTGCACTAAATGAAGCATGATAGGTAGAGGGGTGGGAAATGTCAACAAAATCTTTAAGTAGGAACTGGTTTTTGTTCATTTGTTTCTGAGCCATATTTGGCTATGCTCAGGGGTTACTCCTGGCTCTGAACTCGGAATCACTCCTGGCAGTATTCAGGGGGACCATATGGGATACAAACACCTTACCCATTGTACTATCTCTCTGACCCTAGAAGCATAGAAACTTTACAGTAGGAACTTTTATTATTAAATTTTGGAATTTTAGAGGGTAGAGACATGAATAATACACTGGCATTGGTGGAGAAGGTTAAACTAAAATCAGGAGTACCATTCAGCATGTTGGTGCAGCTGAGAGGCAGGAAGATAGGGGATCCTGAAGAGCACCCACCAGGGAATGAAGAGGAAAGTGTACAGTTCAGTGGATGTAATGCTCTGAGGGCAGGTGCCAGTATTCCAGAGTGAAGGGGCGGGGAGAGAGACAGGATCGGAAAACTACTCAGTGACCATTCTGAGTTGCTAGAGGCACTGACTGAGAATAGAAGGTACCTGATGCTCATGGCCTAGTCTCCATAGCCTGCCATGTAATAATGCTTAACCATGATAACTATGCTTAATTATGGAGTGAATCTATTGTTCTGAAGAAGAGGATAAAAATCAGTTATGGGTGGAGGTGATGAGTTCATCTTTGGCTCTGAGTTTAAGGTTTCTGTGTAATTTTCTAGTAAGTGAATTGTGTGCATAACTGTATAAACATATATGACTTATAAATGAGTATAGGTATATATACCTGACATATATGCAATAATCTACATGTGTATAGTTGTATTTCTATATATATAGATATGCCTGGGTTTGGAGTCCATGGGGAGTAGCTGGTAGTGAAGGACCACTGTGGATCAGGTAGTTTAGGAAAGAGGGTAGTTTGAGAAAAGGCCTAGAGAACATCAATATTTAAAATCCATTCAGAGAGAGGACCCTTAAAAAAGAGCATGAGAGGTAGGAATAGAAGGAGGGATGTCACAGAGGCCTAGAACAGTAAGCTTGAATGAAGAAAAATGCAGACAGGGGCTAAAGTGATAGCACAGCGGGTAGGGCGTTTGCCTGAATGGGGCCATCCTGGGTTCGAATCCCAGCATCCCATATGGTCCCCCAAGCACCACCAGGAGTAATTCCTGAGTTCAGAGCCAGGAGTAACCCCTCTGCTTGCCGAGTGTGACCCAAAAAAGAAAAAAAAACCAACCAAACAAACAAACAAAAAAGTACAGACAGGTATCTCATCAAATCCTGCTGTTACAGTCACACAATAGGTATATTAAGTAGTATAAAATGATAGTATTTAAGATTATGTGTTTGTGTGCTTTTTCCATAGTATTTTGTGTGTCTACCATGCCCAAGATACTAAAATAAGCACAAATATTTTCAATATTGAAAACAACTTATTGGGAAACTTTTGCAGATCATACATTTTTTCAGAAAAAAATAACTGTGCAACAGGCTTTATGCACAAATTTTGCTCTTCCAGCAAGTTCCTAAAGGTGATTATGAATGGTATTGGTGCAGTGTTTGCATGCAAAGATCTAGGTTTCAATCCTGACTCTGGTATATCCTAATTGATGACCCTGAGGGAAATCTCTTAACCTTTCTCAGTCTCAGTATCCTCACTCTTAAGGAGGGATTTTTAATAGTATCTCAAGATCATGTATTCTACTCTTTGGAATGACTCAGGATTGTCATATGTAAGTACAAGTTATTGTTTTTATTCCTGAACAATTGCCATGAGAGAATTTGAAAGTAAAATTTATTCATCAATGTTAAAACTCCTGTAATTGTATGGAAAAACCTAACAGATGTAAAAGAAGCCTCAAGAGAGTCCATTGTAAGAAACAATGTCAAGTTCACTGTAAAAAAAGATTCTTGGTTCTCTCTTTCTCTCCAAAACTTTGTGGTCATAGCAGTGTTGCAGTGACTCTTTCGTCTTCAAAACCTGGCCTTATTAGATAGGAAGTGGACTAGTCCTTTACTTAATGCCCTGCTTGGTATTAAAACAGCACACAGAAGATTACAAAAACACAATTGCACCCATGCAAATAAAAGGATCCATTCATTTATGATAAAGATAAACACTAAAATGTATGTTACATTAGAATGGAACGCAACTACAATTTACAATTTTCTTGATTCATAATTAATTCACAGCTAGAAAGAGGTAATGTGGGCCAAATCATTGATGTAAATTTTATATGTAAGTGTTCCTCTAATTTACTATCTCTTTTTAATTCTTCCTTAGAAAAAGGGGGCATATTTCATGCTGAGAGATTTTTATAAAAATTGTAATTCAAAAAATTAATTTAAGTTATACGTGTTATTATCAAATGAAATATGGATTTTCAGAAGCTTTGAGAGTCCCCAAGTATATCATTGTATGGAAGAATTGGTCACTGTCACTGTCACTGTCCTCCCGTTGTTCATCGATTTGCTCAAGCGGGCCCAGTAAAATTGTGAGACTTGTTGTTACTGTGTTTGGCATATCGAAAACGTCATGGGGAGCTTTCCAGGCTTTGCCATGCAGGCGAGATACTCTCGACAGCTTTCTGGGCTCTCTGAGAGGGACGGAGGAATCGAAGGCAGAGGAATCAAACTCAGGTCGGCCAGGTCGGCCGCGTTCAAGACAAATGCCCTAACTGCTGTGCTATCGCTCCAAAAAACCCTTTCAAAAATATTCAGAAATTAGAATTTCTCTTTTCTGTGGATCTTTCAGAAGCATCAAATTGCTTACAAATATTGCTAATTAATGTCTTCAAGTGTTCAATTGTCTAAGGCCTGTTTATATAACAGTAACTAAAATCTTCATGTCTTCATGTAGAGACAAGATAACTAAAGACTAAGAAAGAAATCAGATTCTACAGAGGGGTAGATCATTCTGTAATGCCATTTACTGATAACTGAAAGTACATAATGGCAGAAAGATGTTTATTTTTTCTACTAAACCGTCTACCTGTTAAGAGTCATCAGTCTCTTGGAATGAAAATGTAAAAGATTAATGCAATTTGAGTAAGAAAAATAATCAATGGAGTCCTATGAATTTGAGTGTTTACAGATGGATCAAAGGGAGCCTATTTGTATGAATCAAAGAAGACATTGTGATAATAGAGCTGCAGAGAATTAATGTGCTGCAGAGTCTATTAATTGACAGAAGTAAAATTGTGGCATATTCCCGTTTCTGTCATCAATAATAGCAAGAGTGTAGATCACACTTCACTGTAGCACTGTCCTCCTGTTGTTCATCAATTTGCTTGAGTGGGCCCAGTAACATCTCCATTGTGAGACTTGTTGTTACTGTGTTTAGCATATGAATATGTCACGGGGAGCTTGCCAGACTTTGCCGTGTGGGCGAAATACTCTTGGTAGCTTGCCAGGCTGTCCAAGAGAGGCAGAGAAATCGGACCCGAGTCGGCCAGGCCTATTGCTTGCAAGGCAACCACCCTACCACTGTACTATTGCTCCAGCCCATAGATCACAAGATCATGCAAAATAGTAATCTAGGCACAGAAGGTTCTCATTAACTATGCTCACTATTATTAAACTTGTTTAAAAGGAGAACGTTACTATCAATAAAGTAACAGTATTATTATCTTGGTGATATTACTTAAAAAGTAGCTTTTTGTATGCTTTTGTTTTGGGGTACACTTTTAGTGTTCAGTATTTCTTTCTGGCTCTATTCCCAGAGGTCTTCCCTGACGAAAAAGTTCATTCCTGCTAGCTTATGAGAATGACTTAAGTTCTTTAATTATCCCAAAGTAGGAAGGAAAAATAACATTGGTAAAGATTTCTGAGTCCAAGAAATTGTATTTTCTAGCTAGAATTACCTTAGCAGACATTGTATCTAATTGAAAGAGAGATACTATCATCAGATCTTCCAAACTACGTGTAGAAGTCATGAACTCTTTTCTGAGTTTATTCCTCCTTGTATGCATCATATAATATAAACAAAGGACCATACATAAAATGAAAGGATTATGTTGCTGAACATAGTTTGGCAAGTTACACTGTCAGATCTGTTTAAGATCTAAATGATAAAGAATAAATAGTGTTATAATTACTGTTATATAGTATTAGATTATACTTATAATTGTCTGAAAGGTGATTTCCAATGTTTTGAGCATACATATTATAAAATGAATTCTATTAAAAATACGTTCTTGCATTCTGCAGAATATATTCTTTCTAAGACATGGTGGTAGCCTCTGACTCCAAATCGTGCACTGTCTGTGTCTCAAGAAAGAGGACTAGTGTGGATTTGGAAACACAGCCATTAAATCATGAAGTATATCTTTGAAAGAGGCAAGGGTGAAAAATCTGTCTCAATAGGGACAGATCCTAAATATTTTGGTCTCTGAGGGTGGTGTTGAGACTTAAATATGAAGCCTCAGCAGAAGTTATTGATATTAATGGCATCACCAAAGAAATTAATCACAGGTACTCATGTAAGAGTGCTCGTCTAAGAGTACTCATCTAACAGTTTTTAAAGAGCTTAAGAGTTTTTAAGACATTTTTTCTCATGTCTTTTATATTTTCTTTCTTGAAACCAGTATCTATTACATGTCTTTGACACTGTTTTGATAACAAAGTTTACTTAATTTTCACTAAAGAAATCACTCTCATACTGTGAAAAATGGAGACATAGGGACTTAAATTCAGCAGTTAGTTGATATTTCAATTGTAATTTCAAGGACACATTTGTATCATCTTAGTAGATTAACACATTCGTAATTCTTGTTTGGGTGGCTTATGCTTGGATATGTGAATTGTCTTACAGTGATCAAATTGTATGCAAATTTGTGAGTAAATGTTTTTATATCTACAAAGTATATTAAAACACAAATATTTCTGTTAGTTGGACTAATATTAATTATTAGTTGGACTTCTTCAATATCAAAAAGCTTTCAGCTCTGATTTTCAATTTTTACCTTCTATATAGCTTTCTTTATTCATCTTTATTTTGCCCAGAGCCCTACCAGCATTTATCACAAAATAGGTGCGATTGTAAGTAATAAAAGCAAATCATAAATTTTTAAAACCATGAGTAATTTTTGTGGCATGAATGAGGACCCTGAAAAGTCCACTTACTATTTTGTGTCTCTTCACCTGGCAGTATGTGCCTTTAGTGGCCTCACATTTTCTTTCAGAGTAACAGACATTTAAAAGTTGAGGCAGGCACCTAATCCATTGGCCTAATCCAGAAGTCTGGAAGGTAACAGAGCTCAGGTTATATGCACTTTTGTGGTGTTTGGGTAATAAACAAAGAGAAAGTCTTTCCATCTTTTACCTACTTCTAAGGAAATAATAAAGATGTTCAGGTTGACATATTTCTCATCCCAGGTGAAAATAAGAGCAAAACAAAATATAAGAGAACATCAGTCACTTCTGGTCTCAAGATTAGCCCACTAAGCAGTTCAGCAAGTATTGATTAAGCTGCCTGCTACAAGGAGCACTGGATGCAAAGCCCCTTCCTGATATTGGAGTCCCTGCAGTGTCAGGTGGAAATGAGACATAGCCTACCTCCGCAGAGCAGCCCTTTGTGTCTCACGCAGGAGAAATTGTCACACTGGCAGTGAGACCCATAAATGTTTCCATAGGGAGACAAGTGACAGATGCACTGTCCACAGTAGCAATCGCCTCTTCCGTTGCATGAGAGGTGTTCTGGGGACTCTTTGCAGGAATCTGTGCTCAGCATGTCCTCCCCACACTCGCAGTGAGGGCCCATGTGGCCGGGGTTGCACACACACACCCCACACTGGAAGGAGCCGTTGCCATTATGGCATTTGGAGCTGTTCATTTCCACTTCTTTCTGACAGTTGCAGTTGCATTCTGGACTGACAAGAATTTCTAGGGTGTCCCCCAGCCCCACAGGCTTTATGACAATGTGCCTGTTTCTTCTCTCACAGTTGGGGATGCTCACAGTCACGTTGAATGAGGCCTGCAAAAGAAAATACTAATTATCTGCTTCTCTCCACCAAAATGCATGGGAGGAAGCAAAAAGCTGCATGGGGATCAGCTTTGTCAAAAGCACTTATTAGGAAGTCTTTGAAAATAGCTTTTGAAATTCTTGAAAGGAAAAGTACAGTTTCAGAGTATTCAGGTAGCTTCTGATTTATTCCAATGTGTTTTTAGACCATTTGTTGGCTGTCTACTTACTGTGTCCCCCACCTTCATGTGGGAGCACTTCTTTTGGTGTGGGAAGACAGTTCCATTGTTGCAGATAGCCATGAATGACAGGTTGAGTCCTTCCGTATCTCCCAATACTTCCAATTCCACCTCGGATCGTATTTCCTTTTAGGTGAGATATATGGAGTTAAATGAAATCAAAGAATAGAGTCAGAAGATTAATCTTGCTAATTAAACTGAAACATACTCATTCAGCTACAAATGAATAAAATTAGGTCTATAAAAATTCACTATCAATTAATAAGGTTGCCAACTACTAAACTAACTCCTAGACCTCTCTACCTGAGTATCTGCTAGAGAAATATGGCTTGGTTTCTGTGCAGGATTGAAGGCCCACTTGAGGTACATGATCATGAATTGGCATTACACTGCACAGCATGAGTGTGTATCTTTCCCAGTCAGGTATGGAGAGTGAGAGGATAGTTTGATTTAACCAGGACACTGGCCAAGTAAGCTCAGTTCTGAGGGCAAGGCAGTTGAGGGCACATATGAGGGATGACATATGATAATATCTTATCCAGAATGATTGGTGATGAAATTTAAATGGGGGGGACAGGAAAGAGAAGATATCAAGAGGTTAGGTATCTGTAAAGAGAAAGTAGGGTTCAGGGCTGGAGCGATAGCACAGGGGGTAGGGTGTTGTTTGCCTTGCACACGGTTGACCCGGGTTCGATTCCCAGCATCCCATATGGTACCCTGAGCACTGCCAGGAGTAATTCCTGAGAGCATGAGCCAGGAGTAACCCGTGTGCATTGCCGGGTGTGATCCCAAAAAAGCAAAATAAATGAAAAATCTAATTGAAAAAAAAAGAGAAAGTAGGGTCTGTTAATTAGAGGTTCTGATGCTTTGGAAATGTTAGGGGAACTAGCAGGAGTAGGATTACAAGATATAAAATGAAGAGCAGAAAATGGGTTCTATCATAACATGAGACTGACATCCAAGGATATTAGATACAAGGCCCAGGAATATTGCTCCATAGTTGAAAGCCTGACTCATGAGTGGGGTGGGGGGGGGGGATTGGGGGTAAGGCAAAGCAACTAGACTAGAGAAGATATTATTAAGAAAATGATGGTTGGAGGGATCAGTTGGGATGGCACATATGTACTGAAAGTAGGTAAAGGACCAAACATGATAACATCTCAGTATTTGTATTGCAAACCATAACGCCCAAAAGTAGAGAGAGAGTATGGGGAATATTGTCTGCTATGGAGGCAGTGGGAAAGGAGGGGTATACTGGGATATTGGTGGTGGGGAATGTGCGCTGGTGGAGGGATGGGTGTTTGATCATTGTGTGATTGTATCTCAAACATGAAATCTTTTAATTATATCTCATGGTGATACAATAAAATAAAAAAATTTAAAAAGAAGATAATATCTAAGATAAGTAATAGAATTTAAACACCAAAATATGGGTTTATTTACCTGGAAGATATGTCAATGCTTGTCTAAGAACTTTATACAAATAAAACCCATTTAATTCTTTAAAAAAGGAAGAAGTAGAAAATGGGTTATATACATTTGGGATTAGCTTGTTGACAGCTGACTAGGTTTTAGTTATGACATGGGAGTGAAGGTACAATAAGCTAATATTGTTTGTATTGGGGGACACAGAATTATTTTAGTAATAGATTTGAAGAAACTGAGAAGAGTCTGAGGCAAATGATAAATTTATATATACTATTATAATGTTCATACATATATACAGGCTGGAGTGATAGCTCAGCGGGTAGGTCATTTTCCTTGTACATGGCCAACCCGGGTTTGATTCCTCCATCCCTTTCGGAGGGCCTCGCAATCTACCAAAAGTATTCTACCCAAACGCAGAGCCTGGCAAGTTCCCTGTGGCATATTCGATATGCCAAAAACAATAACAACAATCTCACAATGGAGATGTTACTGGTGCCTGCTCAAGCAAATCGATGAACAATGGGAGGACAGTGCTATACATATATACACATATTAGATAATTATACTAAAATATGTATGTATAAGTGCTTATATGTATGTGCATTTACTGAAATCGTAAAGAATTAAGATAGGAATAGTGCTGGGGAAAATGGCACTATGAGTTAGAAGCTAAAGGAAAAAAATGAGGACCATGACTGGCATTTCTGTAGATAACAACAATTAGGAGCAGAGGGCAACATAACCACCAGAAATGAAGGAAATCCCAGCATGTATTTAATTGGATATCTTACTGCAAATTTCATCTGGAATATTTTAATGTGATCTTCAAAATAAAGGACATAATATATTTATTTATATAATTTATTATATTTAAAGTAATCAGATTACATTTATTCAAATTATTGAACATCCTCTATGAGCCAAGCAAAATTTGCTTCCCTTTTTGAACTTAGTGGAAGAGTTCACCCTCTTACTATTGCAGATATGTCAGTTACTTTATGTGGTATGAGATGGAAAGAAATTAATGGATAGAAGATCAATACATATCTTGGATATTAAAGGGCTTTTTTAAAAGGAGAGGCCTACGTCCAAGCTATACTCAGGAGGTCTTAGACTCCCTCCAGGGAACAAAGTTATTGGTCCAATGGAGGAAGCTTGGAGGTTACCTGAGCCATGCTGCTGTTGCTCAAGGGCCTCAGGGACTGTGCCCGGCAATTCTAAGTGACCATGTGGTGCCAGGTATAGAACCAGTGTTGGATGCATGCAAAGCAAGAGCCTTAACCCCCATACTATTTCTCTGACCCCTCTAAAAGGTACACTTTCAATGCCAGTCTGCAACTGAAGTGCAGTCACTAATTATAAACACAAACGATCTACCTCTGTTCCACTAGAAGCCTATCAAAGGCTGTATGTAATCAATATATATTTCCTTCTTTCTTCAGACTAGAAAGAAATTCAGTCTATGAAATTACACATTTAAAAGTCCTCTTAGAACACTAAAAAATTACAAGATAGGAAAAGAATTTGCCCTAGTGCCAAGATCTGTAGTCTACTTCACCCAGTGAGCCAGAAAGTTCCAAGAATTGCTACAGAGCAAGATTCTTCAGTAGAGTAGACACAGTTCATATTTTTTGATTGAGTAAAAAAAAAGGTATAAAGTTTAATTAAAATGTTGATTCCTTGATTTCAACTACCCTGTAAATTAGGAAAGTGATGTGGGACCATAAACCCAGCCCTAATTTCTGAAAGAGTAATCAAGGGCTTATAGAGGACCAGGTAAGACAGGGGTAGAAATAGTTTTTAACAACCTACATTTTTCTAATTTGCTTAATTCCTTTTCAGATACTAGTAGTCAACCTGTTTGAACTTATGGGGTTAAAGAAAACTGAGTGTTCTAATTCAGAGGAGAACTGCTATGTGATTTTATTTGATTCTACACATTAAAACTTTAATTACTGCATGAGCAGGAGGAAGGCTTCTATAGTGTTTTGTTGACAAGCTTTCTTGTCTGGAAGAATTTCAAGCATGAGCTAATGTGGTGATTAATTCTTGATGTGAGCTAAGAAAACTGAAGTTTGTGAGAATGAGAGCATAAAAACCCCTTCATGCTATAATTTTAATGGACACATCTGTATTTTATTCACTGAGAAAAGGTAATTCAGAGGAATTGCTTTTCTTCCTCAGGGGGAATTTTAAAACTGTGGAATGATGTCAAAATCATTTGGAAGGTTTTTTTTTTCCACCGCCAAAAATGTAGCTTTTCCTGACCTTAGTTCTCTTAATAAATCTGTGAGGAAAATCTGGACACACATTTTTGAAAAGCTTCCCAGATTATTATGAAAAATAACAATTAACCAGTATTGATTTAGTACAATCTAAGTATTGGCATATGATGTGTGGGCCCTCCCGTTGATCGTCGATTTGCTCGAGCGGGCCCAGTAACGTCTCCATTGGAGACTTTGTTGTTACTGTGTCTGGCATATCGAATACTCTTGGTAGCTTGCCGGGCTCTCCGAGAGGGGTGGAGGAATCGAACTCGGGTCGGCCATGTTGGCCGCTTGTAAGGCGAATGCCCTACCCGCTGTGATGTGTGGGGTCACTTATAATTTTGAAACATCAAACATTGAAGCATTCCCAGCAATGCATGGCCTGGCTGAGTCGGCTCTCAGTTAGGTGCTCGGGTGAGTGATGTGGTGCTGCTCAGAGACCCAGTGGTGGCTGGGAGTCATCAGGGAGACCTCAGAATGTGTGGGAACCATACCTTCCAGTCGGGAATGGAACTTGGGGCCTTCTCATGTAAGATAATAAATAAAGACAAAAACTGATGATATTCGCAAACCAAAATAAAAGTTGGCAACTCTCATCTACCATACATTGAGTTCTGAAATAAGGACAATCACACACACACACACACACACACACACACACACACACACACACAATGCAGGCTCCAGAGATAGTATAAGTGTTACATCCCTGTTACATTCCTGGCATCATTTGGTCCCTTGAGCATTGTCAATTGTAGCTCTAGAGACCCCTGAGCATTGCTGGTTATGGTCTTGAGACTTCATCCTCCCACATCACCATATCTGGGGTGTCCCAGTGAATGGAGTAATCTCCGGCATGAAAGTAATTAGTGGCACTGTATTTTTGGTACTTTGCATGGGACTGCCTACTTGGTTGGCCAAGATTCGCCTGAAGCCATCCCTGTCCATTCACACCTCCAGCCCCCAGTAAAAAAAAATACAAAGAAAAAGCAATACTATATGTGTGCAACTTATTTTGAGCCAGGGTCAAAAGACGTGTGCCTGTGCATTTGTTTATTCATATGTACAGTGTTTAAATATAAAACATAAAACCAAAGAAAAGGTTCTCTGGGTTGAAAAAAAAGTGCTCTCCAAAATGGGGTTTTGTTGATGGTTTTACTTTTAATATTTCTTTTAGGTATGGAGTAGTCATATTATGCCTATGGAGTTCTTCACTGAGCTATTACTTACTGGCAATTTAAACATTTTTTTACTCAGGTCAAGAAGACAGGAGCTTAATGATGACTCATGGAACCTTTTGGTAGAATTAAGGTTTTTGTTAGTGACCCTGTTGCTCTTGGTTATTACCAGAACAACCTTACTGTTATAACAATCTTAGCATTAAGGTTAATGATATTTTCTACCTCTGTCCTACCTTTCAAGAAGGATATCTTCAAATAAAATGAAAAAAGTTTATGTTTGGTTTGCACTGCTACAGAGAGATTTTCTGCAGGTGAGTGCATTTTTTTACTTAAAATTTTACTTCATGAGTATCAAAGAAATACAACCCCCCCAAACCAAACACACACATGCACACACAAACAAACACACACACAGAACCAAAACCAAACCCCAGAAAATTATTCAACAAGAAAAAAAAGCATACTTCATAAGCGGAAATGATCAGCTGGAGAATATTTCCAGAGTCCTTCTGAAGCAGCCCTACTGTGGCTCCAGGAATGAGTTTTGCATAATTCTGTAAATAAAAAAGAATAAGTCAATCTTTGCTCACTGTAATTGAGACACATTAAGTGTGGGGTTCAGCTTGCTGGCTACAGTGGCCTCTAATTAGCTGGCTGGGTGAAACAGGCTCTTGATAACAAATGGGCATTTTTCCTGAAACTCTAGACCTGCCTCCTGTACTTAAGTGGGAAATGAACTGGCCAGAGTTATCACTGGGAAAATCTAGCATCCATGATTGCCTTAGTAAAGGACCATTATTTATAGCATAGCAGGAGTTAAGTCTCAATAACACTTTTATATATTTTCCATTGGTAAAGCACCCTTTGTCAAAAAATATTCTGAGCATACCACCAGAAACTAACTTTACTTTGGTAACATCATTGAAATTTGGTTTGGTATACTTGGACCCTCTCATCACCATCAGGTCACTCAACATGTCATTAAATCCATATTTTTTCTTGTGTTTGTTTTACACCTCATGGCACTCAGGGCTTACTCCTGGATTGGTGCTCAAGGATCACCCCTGGGTGGACTTGGTGGACCATATGTCGTGCCAGGGATTGAACCTGGGTTAGCCATATACAAGGCAAATGCCCTACCTACTGTAATAACTCTCCAGATTTCTGAAATCCAGATTATTTAAAGAGTGCTTATCACAGGATTGGAGAGATATAAAGGGGTTGAGACATTTGCAGATCTTAGGTTATCCCCAGCAGCACATAAAGTTCCCTGAGTGTTGTGAGGGATCACTCTGGTGCACAGCTGTGTGTGCCCTCCCCCAAAGACACACACACACACACACACACACACACACACACACGTCAACCATTTGATCATTTGATGGTGAAAAAAAATCATATTTTTTAGAATTCTCGCTATTCCCCCTTTCCTAGGAATAATGAGAACTCAGGTCTTTCAGCACTCTGCTAGGATTCATTAGAATCACTAACTAGTCATCATGATTTAGTGCTTCTGTAAAATGATCTGCATTCTTCCCCTCCATTTTCTCCTGAGATGTTCTTTCCATCTGAGGAAACTCACAATATTAGTTCTTCAGCACTCCAACTATCAAGCATAGTTGGGGAATGAGGCATTGCAAAGAAAGGAATATTCCAGACAGTTGAAAATTGCCCTGAAGTTTTATATTTTACAATACTATTTTCAAACATTTTCTAAAAGTGTATGGTTTCTGTCATTGTCTTCTTAAGCAAAGACTCAGGCATACGTTGACTTTTTCTTGCAGAAGTTGTCAAATATCAGTATTAACTATGTTCTACACTCATTTAAGACTTTCCAAATCAACCCATGCCAAGCAGGTTCTAAAATATTACACTTTTGTGTGATTCTAAACTTTAGTATCACAAAATGAGAGGGTCCAATGAAAAAATGGGTTTTTTTGTTTATTTATTTATTTTGATTTTGGGTTCACATCGGGCATTGCACAGGGGTTACTACCAGCTCATGCACTCAGGAATTACTCCTGGCAGTGCTCGGGGGACCATAAGGGATACTGGGAATCGAACCCGGGTCAGCCACGTGCAAGGCAGATGCCCTACCCACTGAACTGTAGCTCCAGCCCTGATACTAAAATTTATAACAAGAAATATATATCTTTGTATTTCTGATATTAAGTTCCTAATGCTTTTGGGATTTCCTTAGTAATGTGAGAAACACATTTGACTCCTGTTAGATTAATGAGATGAATTTTGAAAACCACTTGAGTGAGGACTAACTTTTAGTACATGTATACATTGTGAGGGTTGGAACTTTCAAATCCACTGTCCTTCCTTCTCCCCATAAGACCCCCCTTCTCCCCTACCACCCCCGGGCCCCATCCTCCTCCTCTATCTTTAGAGGAGAGTGAACCTGCAGGTTGAATCAATTGCCAGTGACTTAAGCAATAATAGATGTAATAAAGCCTTCACATAAGCTGAAGAAGAGTTTATGAGTTGGTGAATACATTGGGATTAGGGGAGAATGGCACACTTTTTGGGGCATGGAAGCTCTGCACCCTTTCCCTCTATCTTGGGTTTACTTTGGCTATTTCCCACTTAAATCTTTTTAAGGGACTGGTGAGATTTTACAGGAGTTAAGATACTTGCTTGCAAGAAGCTACCTCTGTTTGATTCCAACACCACATCTGGCTTTTCTTGTACTGCCAAAAGTGTTCCCTGAGCTCAGAGGTAGGATTAAATTGAGCACAGCTGGGTGTGTCCCAAACCAAACCAAAACATTTTTATAACTAACTGGTGAGCTAGTAGGTGAATATTTCTTAGTTCTGTGAGCCACTACAATCTGTTCATCAAACCCAACAATTGGGTCTTAGGAATCTCAGACTTCAGTTGGTCTGAAGTACAGGTACCTGAACTTGCCACCAGCAAGTGAAACCTAAGGAGAGGGTTTCATTGGACCCCTCATTTATAACCAATCTGGCAGAAACCCAAGTGCTAACCTGTGCTTGTGGTTGGAGTCAGAAGTGTGTGTGTCGGGGGGGGGGGGGGTGTTCTAGGACTGACTAGTACCATTACAGATTATTATCCTTAATCTGTAGAATCTGGTGTTCTTTATAGGTAGATAGTACGCTGAATTGCATTCGCAGATATATAGCTAGTGTGGAAGATTATTGGTGTGGTGAATTTTCCCTTCGCCAACACATATTGAGGAAGGGAAAATTTACTGGACCCAATTTCCAATTGCATTGACACTAAATTCCTAATGCTTTTGGAATTGCATTGGAAATTGGGTCCAGTAACTCCAAATATTTTTATTTTAAAATAGTTTCTATATTGTTAAGCTGTGAGATATTTCTGTCTTTCAGAAATATTTCTCTCTCTCAGATATTTCTAACTCTCCTATCAATTTACTCATTCATTTACTGTTGCATTCAACAATGTCCATTAGTCAGACTTAATATGAAGTGCTTCATCAAGGAGACAATTCATTCTTTTTCTCAGCTGTAGTTTTCTAAATTGTTATGTGTGATAAAATCATATAATTGAATCTGTTAAAATTGTATATATGAGAAAGTAAACAATCTTGGAATTTGATTCAGGGCACATCTTACAGTTCAAACACAATCACTTTCACTGTCACTGTCCTCCCAGTCATCCATTTGCTTGAGTGCGGCCAGTAACGTCTCCATCGTGAGACTTCTTGTTACTGTGTTTGGCATATTTAATACGTCACGGAGAATTTGCCAGGCTTTGCCGTGTGGGTGAGATACTCTCAGTAGCTTGCCGAGCTCTCCGAAAGGGGAAGAGGAATTGAACCCGGGTCAGTCAGGTTGGCCGCGTGCAAGGCAAGCGCCCTACTGCTGACTCAGTAACAACAACTCTCACAATGAAGACGTTACTGGGCCCGTTCAAGCAAATTGATGAACAATGGGAGGACAGTGACACTGATAATGATCAAACACAGTATCCTATCTTATTTCAACAACACTTTAGGTAACTTAAAGAGTGGGCAAAACTAAATTAGAATTATCACTAAAAGATAGATAGTACAAAAGGTGAAGCACTTGTGTTGCCATGGTCCATCCTAGTTTGAGTTTCTGGCACTACAAAATAGTCTCCAATGAGGCTGGAGTGATAGCACAGCAGGTAGGGCTTTTGCCTTGCATATGGCTGTCCCGGCTTCAATTCCTAGCATCCTATATGGTCCCCTGAGCACTGCCAGGAATAATTCCTGAGTGCATGAGCCAGAAGTTACCCCTGTGCATTGCTGGGTGTGACCCAAAAAGCAAAATACAAAACAAAAAATATAGTCTCTGATGAGCACTGCCAGGCATTCACTTCTGAGCACCATTGAGTGTGACATTGATTATCCCCCCAAATTATTATTATGATCATAATTAGAAGTAAATCAAGACAAGAGGAACCACCAACATAACAAATGAGACCCATTAGAGCTCAAATATATTTTAAGAAACCATAGGTGAGCACCAGGTTGAAATTCAAGTCTTCTATAAGTTTCTTTTCTTTTCTTTTTCTTTCTTTCTTTCTTTCTTTCTTTCTTTCTTTCTTTCTTTCTTTCTTTCTTTCTTTCCTCCTCCTCCTCCTCCTCCTCCTCCTCCTCCTCCTCCTCCTCCTCCTCCTCCTCCTCCTCCTCCTCCTCCTCCTCCTCCTCCTCCTCCTCCTCCTTCTTCTTCTTCTTCTTCTTCTTCTTCTTCTTCTTCTTCTTCTTCTTCTTCTTCTTCTTCTTCTTCTTCTTCTTCTTCTTGTCACACTTGGCGATGCACAGGGGTTACTTCTGGCTTATGCACTCAGGAATTACTCCTGGCAGTTCTCAGGGGACCATACGGGTTGCTGGGAATTGAACCAGGGTCAGCTACGTGCAAGACAAACACCCTACCAGCTGTGCTATCACTCCAGTTCTTTCTACAAATTTCTGTATGGAAAATAGACTTTGGTTTTAACTTGTAAAAAGGCCCCCCCGTTGATCATCGATTTGCTCGAGCGGGCCCAGTAACGTCTCCATTGGAGACTTTGTTGTTACTGTGTCTGGCATAACGAATACTCTCGGTAGCTTGCCGGGCTCTCCGAGAGGGGCGGAGGAATCGAACTTGGGTCGGCCATGTTGGCTGCGTGCAAGGCAGACGCCCTACCCGCTGTGCTATCGCTCCAGCCCGGTTTTAACTTGTAAATTTTGTTATTTTTTTGTTTATTGCAATATCTGTGATTGTCTTTATGCCTGAAATAAATGGAAATATCAACTCTAACAGTGTGTGTTGCCACTTTGCCTTGACACTGTATTTTATTACTAAAGGAACCTTGGGTAGTAATGCGGTGATATTCCTCTTTACTGTGTACCCTATATCTCTGCCTGTGGATGGTGAGCCCCAATATGTTTCCCTGAGCCAGGTAGAACTTGTCAAATACAAGGAAGGCACCAGTTCATCGACTCACCATTTCAAATAAACACATGTCAAAAGGGCTGTGGAGCATGAGACCTGTAGTTAGCAGTGAATAGGTAAATACAAACTTGAATTTCACTCAAGTAGAGCTGGAATGTGTG